TCCCTGGACCTCCCATGAACACTATGGCTGCATCTGTGGGTTGATAAAACCCTAGTCAGTTGTGATATTCCAGTGTTTGCCTGGCACAAAACCAGAATTTCAAACCAGGGTGTGTAAGCTAAGTTGGTAGACCACAGTTTGTGGTTTCTTGTGATGTTTCTACCCACAAACCACATTTTGTTGAGTTGCATCATTGCTTGCAAGCCACCCGGCCACACGGATCGCAGTATAGAGATGGCCATTATCCTCACTGGGAGGCGGAAAGGAACAAAGATACAAATTAACTGGGGTTTAGGCACAGACTGGGGATTCTGACTTATTCCTGGCAGACTGACTAATTTGTTGCACAAACCAGTTTCTGGTGATGTCGGAGTGCTGCCTTTAGTTGCTTCTCCTCCACCTCCCAGCACCTCCCGTTTTCCCAACAATTGGAGACGGGGAATGAATGAGAGTGCATCTCTGCATCTATATGTGCTGACTGTGGTTAGGACCATGGACTGGTTAGGAGCGCGGACTCTCATCTGGGAGGACCGGGTTTGATTCCCCACTCCTCCACAGGCAGCTGCTGGTGTGACCTTGGGTCAGTCACAAGTCCTCTCAGAGCTGTTCTCTCAAGGGCAGTCCTCAAGAGACCTCTCTCAGCCCCACCTACCTCACAGGGTGTCTGTTGTGGGGAGGGGGGGGAAAGGAGTTTGTAAGCCACTCTGAAACTCTTTTGAGTAGTGAATGGTGAGGTATAAATCAAATCTCTTCTCTTCTCCATCTTCTTTCCACAGCATCTCCACCTCCAGGTTTTTCAGAGGGGCAGGGGAGCCATCTATTTACTTTATTTATACCTCACCCTTTCTCCCCAATGGGGACCCAAAGCACCTTATTTTATCCTCTTCTCTATTTTATCCTCACAACCACCCTGTGAGGTAGGCTAGGCTGAGTGGGAGTGACTGGCCCCAGGTCACCCAACAGACTGTCATGGCAGTGCGGGGATTTGAGCCTGGGTCTCCCAGATCCTACCTAGTCTGACACTCTAACGGCTATACCATGCTGGCTTTGAAAAGATTTTGATGGAGTCATCCAGTGTTCCTGATCCAAATTGCTTGCTCAGATCAGATGCTGTGAAGAGAACTTATTTATAAATTATTATTTACTTTTTTTTATAAGTACCCGAGGGTACACTTTTATTATTTTTTTCCATTATATACTACAGACATACATACAAACAACCCCCAACTACCCCCCACAACATATAACATATAACAAGAGACTTTATTATTTCTTCTGCTTATTAAATTTCTAAATTCCTTATCTATTTTACTAAGCTTATCTTTTCTGCGTTTTCAAATTACTACATTTATCTATCAGTTACATTTACATTACACCAATTTCTTACTGCTTGCAATACGATATTGTTTTGATTGTAATACAGTTGGGGGAAAAGAACAGCCTTTGCCCACAGATACTTAAGCAGCACACGTGACTACCAGTGGCTTGAACCTGGCCCAGCGACTCTTTCAAACAAACAATATCACCAGGTAACTAAAACCGTAATACTGGATTTTCCTGTTCTACTCACAGACATTTTAGGTAGATCAATTTATTCACTTCCCAATTGCTACCTAATATGCAGCTATATTCCTTCTTATCCCTCCCCCGCACCCCACCCCATTCCCTCTCTCTGGAAGGTACATTTTTTATACTGGTTCATCTCAGATATGTAGAGACAATGGGCCAGTTGGAGATTATTTAAGACCGATTTGTCTTTAAGCTTCATTGGTTTTCAGTTTCTTTTCAAGCCAAGTTCTAGATGCCAGTTTTGACCTAAAAATGACTTGAGTCCGGGATATTTTAGGAAGTGCCTTCTCGCATATCTACCACTCCACTCCCCCTGCCATTAAAATAAATTAAAAGGAAGTGCTACAGGTGCTACTACTATCTCACACAGCTTACAAATTGAAGTTGTCTCCAGTCTCAGCAATGCCAGGCTTCCACATGTAGATCTCTCACAACAGAACATGGAAGATTTGAAGTCCCTGCTAGAAGGCAAATATACCAGAGGATACCTGCTGCTGGTGCTGCCACTGCAGTAATCTAGCCTTAGTGGGATGAAAGGATGGTTAACTTTGGACAACCCATAGACCTCAAGGAAAGACCACAGCAGGTACACCAACTGAAGTTGGCTAGGGGCACCATTCACCACAGACAAGCCTTCTGGGCACTGCTCTTATAGCACCCCCAAGCTATTAGCCTGTTTCTTCAGTGCCAGCTTTGGGTTTCAGGTGGCCTGGGCAAGATGCCCTACAATGTCACAGGAAGTGGTGGCGGCTACAAGCACGGACAGCTTCAAAAGGGAATTAGATAAGCATATGGAGCAGAGGTCCATCAGTGGCTATTAGCCACAAGGTATAGATAGGGACTCTGGGGCAAGTGATGCTCTGTCCTCTTGATGCTTGGGGGGGTCAACAGTGGGAGGGCTTCTAATGTCCTGGCCCCACTGGTGGACCTCCTGATGGCACCTGGTATTTTTGGCCACTGTGTGACAGAGTGTTGGACTGGATAGGCCTTTGGCCTGATCCAACATTGGTGTCTCTTATGTTCTTAATGGTCTTCTCATTAAGTGTACTGCCCCCTTTCCAAGTGCTGCATGTGCCTCAGTATTCTCCCTCCCACTTGGAAGATTCAATCTTGTCCTTCAGGACTCCTGCTGCTTCTATTGGGTTTTCAAGTATCAATGCCACATAATCTGCAAAGGCTAGTATTTTAAAGTGTTCTTTCTTCACTTGAAGTCCAGTTATTTTACTCTCTTTTCTGATGGCTTCATTCATAACTTCCAGTACCATAATAAACAAAAGTGGGGATAAAGGGCATCCTTGTCTCGTACCTTTCTGGATCTCAAAATTATTTGAAAGTTCTCCATTGACCATAACTTTCGCCTTTTGTTCACTGTATATTGCTTGAATCATAGTAATAAAGCTTTCTCCTGCATCTAGCATGCGAAGCGTCTCCAACATGAAGGTCCAGTTAACATTGTCAAATGCTTTCTCCGCATCCAAAAAGATTATTGCCATCTGCTTCTCATGGCGTAGTGGTAGGTGGGGCTGAGAGAGCTCTGACAGAAACTGCTCTTTTTCAAGAACACCTCTGACAGAACCACTACACCAAACTGGCTCTCAAAGGAAGATGGCATTCACTAAATGACCACTAGTCAGTGTTCCCTCTAAGCTGTGTGAGTGGCCGCTCATTAACACAGGAAGCCCCACTCAGCAGCAGTCTGGAGTTGCGCGCAGGGTCTTGCACTGCCCATTGCCTACTGCAAGATTACAGCAGTTGTATTGTGTTCAGGATGTGAACTGTTCCCTCAGTAGAGGGAAAAATTAGAGGGAACACTGCCACTAGTGTAGATAGTTTTAAAAGGGGATTACACAGATTAATGGAGAAACACTGACTGCTAGCCTTTGATTATCAAGAAGCCTTTTGGAAACCTCTTCTACCTAGGAGGCATCATTGTGGGATCCGGGGAGCACAGCCAGTGTTCCCTCTAAGCTGAGTTAGTGTGAGCTAGCTCACGGTTTTTTAGCCTCCAGCTCACACGTTTTTGTCTTAGCTCAGAAAGGATGGGGCTCCAGAGCAAACTAATTGATGCAGTAACCAAATAACTCGCTCACAACTTTAAGACCAGTAGCTCACAAAGAAGAATTTTTGCTCACAAGACTCCATAGCTTAGAGGGAACATTGAGCGCAGCATCTGTGCCCTGTTTGTTAGCCCTTTCGGGCAACTGACTGCCCGCTGTGTGAAGCCCACTGTGTGAAAAAGGACGCAGGACCAGATGGACCACTGAACTGATTGAGTAGGGCTCTTCTTATGAAACGGCCAAAACTTAAATATGTAATTTAATATCCTTACAGTTATTTAATTTATTCCTTTTAAAATGTACATTTTTAGAAGACCTGAGCCCTTGTCAGTCTTCCATTGCTCTTGCACACGACAAAACACCAGGATGACATTGGCTAAAACAGGGGAATTGACCATCTGTAAATCACATCTGGGGCTGCGTTGGCTCATGTGGTTGAGACGCTGAACTGCAGGCTGAAAGGTCGGTAGTTCAGCAGTTTAAGACCCGGGTGCCGCATGACAGAGTGAGCTCCCGTCTCTGGTCCCAGCTCCTGCCAACCTATCAGTTCGAAAGCAAGAAATTGCAGTAGATAAATAGGTACTGCTTTGGTGGGAAGGTAACAGCGTTCCTTGTGCCTTGGCGTCTAGTCATGCTGGCCACATGACCACAGAAATGTATTTGGACAGCGCTGGCTCTTCGGCTTGGAAACGGAGATGAGCACCGCATCCATAGAGTCAGATTCGACTGGCTTTCAAGCAATCTTTACCTACTTTTACCCTAAATCACATCTGGAGCTGTGGTAGCTCAAGCGGTTAAGACGCTGAACTGCAGGCTGGAAGGCCGGTAGTTCAGCAGTTTGAGACCTGAGTGCTGCAAGATGGAGTGAGCTCCCATCTCTTGTTCCAGCTCCTGCCAACCTAGCAGTTCGAAAGCAAGAAATTGCAAGTAGATAAATAGGTACTGCTTTGGTGGGAAGGTAACAGCGTTTTGTGCGTCTCAGCATCTACATGACCACGGAAACGTCTTTGGACAGCACTGGCTCTTCAGCTTGGAAACGGAGATGAGCACCGCAACCCTAGAGTCGGATTCAACTGGCTTTCGAGCAAGGGAAACCTTTACCTTTACCTTAAATCACATTGGTTAACACATATAGACCTCTGGCCGGAGAATATCTTGTGTTTCCCCACACCACACGTAGAAGAACAGAAAAATCTCTTATTGGGTAGAATACTACCTGCATGTAGTCTTTTTTCTCTATTTTTAAATGTAAACTACAATTTCTGGAGAGAGACCTCGATTATCTCTGAAAAAGGCCTTCTGCAAGCCGTGCTACAAGCCTGAAAGTTGCCTCATCCAGACCCAGAATTAGTCCTTCTCCATGTGTACTAGTACCTGCTTATTGCCTGGGATGCAGTGCAGGTACCGAGTGGGTCCTTCAGTCCCGTAGGGATCACTGAGGTCGGTAATGTGCTTTGTGGCCAGAAGGCAGCTGGCTGTGTGCTGGCGCTGCTTCCCAAGACGGTGCATTGTGTGCAGCTGTTGCCGCCAATGGGCCACTTGCTGCATCCGAGGTGTGGAAACTGGGCATCCTAGCCACGGTACCTGTAAAGTGGTGGAAGTATTTCAGGAGGTGCCATATTTGTGGGCATAAGGGTCATATCATCCCTGTGCTGAAAGATCTACAATGGCTGCCTGTTCATTTTTGAGAACAATCCTAAGGCAGATTCATGTCTTTGTATGCATTCTACATCTACAGGAGGGTTGGGGGTGGATCCAGACCGCTTTTCTGCTACTAAAAAAGGGAGGAGGGGTCCCCTTGACCACCAAAAAAGGTATGCTGGATACCATAAGACCAAAACAAAAGGCAAAGTCACGGGCAAGGCAGCAATAGAGAACCAAAACCATGACTGAACAGAAAAAATGACGGTAAATTATAAACAATTGCTAAATGTATATTGTGTCACAATTATTATTTGAAGCACAGGTATATTAAGGTAAAAAGTCCTCTCAAAGCCATAGAGCCAAAGAAAACATTCCTCTTAAAAGACATCAGAAGGTCTAAGAAAGTACATAAATCCACAGTAAATCTGAAGCCCTCCGGTCAGGAGTTCAAGGAAACAGAGGGTCCTCTTATTGAAAGGCAGTAAGTAATCAGAAGACAGGAACCTGTTTCCAAGACAGATCTTTCTCAAGTCCGGTTGCCATAATAAAATGTATGCAAGCAGAGACCTCACTCAGAAAGTCTCGATAATCTCTAAATGCTGCAAGGCGATGAACGCCCAAGCAGTCACGAGACCTGCATGGACAAAGCCGCTATTGCTGCTGTAGTAAAGTAGATAATTGTGCAAGCTGATTGCATCCAACCTTTTGAGATATGACTGCAAATCAGCCCTTCTGAAGGGCTATCAATTAGTTCAGAAGCTCGAGGCAGGGACAGTTCAAGCTGCCTTTTTCACATGTGCACACCAACAGTGGGAGAAGAGTGCTTCAAGCATCGGTGTGTGAATCTGGCCACAATCCAGAGGTGTGGTTTTGTTTTAAAGCCAAGTCTGGGTGAGAAGCTAAAGGAAAACAGGAGCTGAGAGGAAAAAAAGAGAAGTTCAACTAGAATTTAGTGGGACTAGAATGAGGCTAGAGAAAGGTTGTCACACATCTAGGGTTGCCAGCCTCCAGGTGAGGTCTGGAGTTCTTCTTGAATTATGATTGATCTCCAGACTTCAGAGATCAGTTTCCTTGAAAGACAGGGCAATTTGGGAGGATGGATTTTATGGCAGAGTCTATGGGAACTGAATATCACAGCCCTGCTGAGCTCCCTCTGCTACCCACACTCCACTGTCCCCAGGTGCCGCCACCAAATCTCCAGGAAGTTCCCATGCCAGAGTTGGCACCCATATGCACAAAGCTGATGTTAATGGATAGCCCTTATTTTAAGACTGTAGTCTCCTAAAACAGGAGTAAAGACATTATGTATTTTTGTTGGGAGGGACCGACTCTGTTATCCAGGCAGGGTCTTGGGGAGCTAAACGTATATTTTTGGCAAAGGAGCTGACTTCCTACAGGTGGTTAATTTCGGTAAGAAAGTTTCCAATTGGGTACAAACTAAGACATTGTGTGTTTTTTTAAAAAGCAGAGTGGTGGTAAAATTAAAGCATCAAATGACTGCCACATACACGCACATGTACTCTTTGAAAAGCATTTTCTTTTCCTCATATAAAATCACGAGCAAATTTTTTTTCTAGGGCTCCGGTGACCAGATAAAAAGGTTGGTCTACAGGCTTCCAGTTGGCCATATGGAATAAATATGCCCCTTATCTCCCTTTCTATAAAACTTGTAGCACCGTGCTAAGTGGAGTTACACCCTTCAAAGTCTACTGAAGTCAGTGGGCTCAGATGGGAATAACTCTGCTTAGGACAGCAAGATTCAAGTCCAGTAGTGCTTTAAAGATCAACAAGATTTCCAGGGCATAAACTTTCGAAAGTCAAAGCTCCTCTTGTCAGATATCTGATGAGGGAACTTTGACTCTTGAAAGCTTATACCGGGGAAATCTTGTTGATCTTTAAGGTGCAAACTGGATTCGAGAGTTTTGTTCTTCTACTGCTGATCACCTGAAACTATCTCCTCACGATGAAACTGTTACTATGATCTTTATTGCAGTCTCCCAGGCAGGAAGTGCTATGGCAAGACAGAAACAGGATGCGAGACAATAATTCAGCGCTAGGAAGCCCAAATGGCTACTCAGTTGCTCAGCACAAGGAGGAGGAGGAGGAGATTGGGGTTATACCCCGCCCTTCACTTGGAGTCTCAGAGCGGCTTACAAACTCCTTTCCCTTCCCCTCCCCACAACAGACACCCTGTGAGGTGGGTGGGGCTGAGAGAACTCTGACACAAACTGCTCTTTTTCAAGGACAGCTGTGCCAGAGCTTGTGACTGACCCAAAGTCACATCAGCAGGTGCAAGTGGAGGAGTGGGGAATCAAACCCGGTTCTCCCAGATTAGAGTCCATGCACTTAACCACTACACCAAACAAGGAAATATTTATGGAGACTAGCACGTGATAAAGGGAACAAAGACGCAATCAGGGGCTGTTATAGACTGTGGGGAGGGTGAAGACAAGGGCCATAGGAGAGAAGCTAGGACTCTGCCTCAGAGCACCTCCAGTGCCAGTGGAACAGCTGCCAGTGCCTCCCGTCCTCAGCAGAAAAGGGCTGATCTAGATGAATCTTGTTAGGGTTCAACTGTACAAGGTATGGGAGTTTCCTGAACATTTCAGAGAGATCTCAGCATTTTCCCACCCCTAAAAATCATGTATGTGGGAGCCCAACTCCACCTAGGTTCATGGGGGGGGGAACCTTCTAAGTGTTTTGCCTATGCTGTTTTTGAAACCTGAAACAGCCTTGGGGGCATAGTTGGCCCATTGGCGTAAACATTCCAATACTTGGTAGGTATGGCTGTATCTCCATCCCTGACTGAAATCATGCCTGTGTGAAACGGAGACAAATACGTATCATACCTCTGTTTAATCCTACTTCCTACACCCTCCCTTCTCTTTGTTGTCCACTTGGTGTCAGATTTCAGAATGTAAGCTCCTTGGGGCAGGGAATTGTCTTTCTATACTCTGTAAAGCATTGTATATGTACATTGATGGCACTACATTATTTATTATTGGTAGTATTTGTGTTGCCTCCTGCTTAAGTAGGGTTGCCAGCTCTGGGTTGTGAAATACCTGGAAATTTGGGGGGTGGAGCCTGAGGAGGGTGGGGTTTGGGGGGGATTTCAATGGGATATAAGGCCATAGAGTCAACCTTACAAAGTGGTCATTTTCTCCAGGTGAACTGATCTCTGTTGCCTAGAAATCAGTTGTAATCCTGGGAGATCTCCAGTCATCACCTGGAGGCTGGCAGCCCTATGCACAAGAGGCCCAGGAACAGTTGCCCGAGGGCAGAGCGAGTTAATTAACTCATACCTAAGAAATCTCTAGTACAGATATGGGAGGGGAGGAATCTGGCTACGAAAGACGAGTTCCCAGCCCCTGAGTTGCCTGCTGGATCTGGTCCCAAGTGTACTCCTCACCTGGTGGGAAAGCGAGCAGCCTTTCTTGGCTTCTGCAAGCTGACGCCGGCACTTGGGTTCCACATGCAGGGCCCTCCAGAGCTCCTCAGCCCCCATGTCTGTGGGACAGGGAGGGAGGAAATGAAGCTGACAGAGCACAATTCTGAGCCACCATGAGGCCCCCTCCCTTAGCATGAACAACCCCCTTGAATGTGTGCTCTCTCTTTCCTCATCACTTCATTCCTATGCCAGGAAAAGTTTCACCTGCTAATCTCACACAGCTGTTGGAGACACAGGAGCCCCTTCCTGGGGAAAAAACGGTGATAAACCTTACTAGACCTGGTGAATGGCTGCAGATACCTCACATATTTGACTGGCAATCTGCAGGTCTATTTTTGGGCAGGAACACACAGGAACGGAGTTCCGGCTGGCTTCAGAGTTGGCCACGCCCACTACAGCCAAAACCTTTCTGTGCGTGGCTACAGAGGGAATGCCTGGAGAGCGACCCCCCCCCCCGGGGACTCCAAGGTGGGCCGGGGGGGTCCCTTGGAAGGATCGGGAGGGCATTTAAATGCCTCCCTGTGCCTTCCCCGGCCTGTCCAAGGGCCGGCTTGCCCAAGCTCCCCGCAGCCGTGGGGCATCCAGGCAAACCAAGGTAAAGCATGGGGGTGTGGCCTAGTATGCTAATGAGCTGTACCGTCAGGGTGTGGCCTAATATGCTAATGAGTTTCTGCTGTGGGGTGTGGCCTATTTTTCCAATGAGTTCCTGCTGGGCTTTTGCTACAAAAAAAGCCCTGGCAATCTGGATTTGCTGCAAATAGGCAGAGAGAATATCTAGGGTCTAGACCAGAGGTGTCGAAATCATTTGTTACGAGGGCCGGATCTGACATAAATGTCACTTTGTCAGGCCGGGCCACGTGTGCCATAAAATGTAATGCCAGGTACCGGAGATATAAACTGTATAAAGGACAGCAGCTGGTAAGCTCAGAGTTGGTGTATCCTTACTGCAAGGCACTGCATGGGCTGGGAGTGGGGTGCAAAGGAAAACCTGAATGGGCGGACTCTCCTTGACTACTACAGATGAGGTTGTTCTGCTGTGCTGAAGCCACAATCGGAGTGGCTGTGCCCACTCTATCCCTCCCCCCCCAGCAGTCTCCTGTTCCCTCCCTTGCACTAATTCTTTGCAGACTGCATAAGAGCCTTGGACGGGCCAGTTCCGCCCCCCCAGGCCTTGTTTTACACCCTTAATCTAGGGTCTAGACACAAAACATATATGGGTATGTGGTCAATATATGTACGTAGCAGGGGAGTGGGTCTGAACTACAGGATGTTACGGAGTTTATGCTCACACAGGCAGTCTGTACTTGTGCATGCACTGTGGCCACAATGGAGTAAACAAGTGGTACTCACTCTGAGGTTTGCAGGGAATCATATTCACAATTATCATCAACCAAAAGAGCCACATGATGACTGTGGTGTGCCCTGTGTGAGCCCTTGTCTATCCAGAGCTTTCCTCTAGCGCTCTCCTCAGCATGAGGTACAGCAGCTCAGGCAAGAGAGAGAGATTGCCCAGGCTCCTTCAGGAGAGCAAACTGCTCATGGAGAAAGGGGAATCGAGGCAGCATTACCCCACTGTGGCCAAGTGGATCTCCTCTCATACCTGCACTCTCACCCTTCCATGGCCCGCTTGTGAGCCTTGGACTCGTAGGGGCAAACTCCACCTCTCGTGTGTGATGTCATTTTGGCTCCCCCAGCTCTCGGGAGGTGCTCTTTAAAAAGTTATGGCCGCCATCGCTGTTCTCGGGGGCAGCTGCGACGCCCGCATGGGTGTGTGTGAAACGTTCTTTTGCCTCCCTGAGCCCCAGGGTGGTGGCCTTGGACTCGTAGGGGAAAATTCCAGCTCTTGTGTGTGATGTCATTCTGGTTCCCCCAGCTCTCCTTAGGGGCTTCTGGCCCCCCCAGCTCTCCTTAGGGGCTCTTTAAAACCCCTATACCCTATGTTTTCGCCATTGACTTCAATGGCCCATAGGATATAATGGGACCAAACTGCGGAAAGCCAATTCAGAGCAGAGAATCTGATTCGGCCCGCAGCAGTCTGAAAGGATCCCGAATGGGCCATTTTCAGGGGTGCAACCGAATGCACATCCCTCCAGCAGCCGGCTTGCTTGGGCTCTCTTCAGCCGCGGGGATCCTGAGCAAGCCAAGGGAAGGGAAGGTGGTTTAAATCGTCTCTTCTTCCCTCCAGCAGCCGGCTTGCTCAGTCTCCCAGAGCAAACCAAGGGAAGTGAAGGTGGCGGAGCAGCTGGAGACATTGAGCCTCAGCTCCACAAGTAATGAGCACTCGACCCCCGCCCCCAGCAGCCCTCAGGCCGGAGCACCTGGAGCAGTCTTGGGAGGTGGATTGGCAAAAAGCAAAACCAAAAGCGCAGGAACTCGATGACCCTGGAGGTCCCTTCCCACTCTATGAGTCTATGATTCTATAATTCACCCAGGCTGGCTGTGGGCACGCCAGCACCTCTGTCAGGCAGAAGCGCCTGAGATCCTCACCCTCCCCTTTTCCTTCGCCTGACTTGGAGGAGAAGGGAAGGGAGGGGGGGAAAGAATGGATCCCAGGTGCTTCTGCCTGTCAGAAGGGCTGGTGCACACTTCCCGTGATGGCAGGGGGTGTGGCATATGCTAATAAGTTATGCTAATGAGCTCCTGCAGCTCTTTTTCTACGAAATGACCCCTGATTAGGTCAGAGGTTAATTTGGGGTGAGGCAACCTATTCTGGGAGGAAGGTTGCAGTGGGGTCAGATGCCTTGACATTACACCTTCCAGAACCTGTGCCGAGTTATGTCTCTTTCTCTGGCATCCATTTTTGTCATTTTTTCGATCAGACTGCATGGCAAGCAGGCCTGTTGCCAAGTTTTTTTTTAGTTTTGGGGGCCTTTTAAAAAGTCAGGGGGCACTGAAATTTGCACACAGCCTCCACTTCTCCAAGCTGAGTGCAGGCACATGCAGCCTTCCCTCACTTCTCTCCAAAAGTCGGGGGGCCTTGGGAAGAAGTCATCAGGGGGTCCCAGGAGGCCCCACTGTGGCAAGAATGACTCTGGCATGTTATTGAATGAAGGGTGTTCGCATGCAAACTACCCCTCAGTAAGAGGAGGGGCCTGCCCACTTACAGGGCCACATCACGGATGAGTCACTGGTCAAAGAGCTATAGAGTGAGTTATCACTGGGGTAAATACATGTTGGTGGTGAAGGGGAATTAGTGCACTTGGTCAGAGGGGTACTGGAGGGACAGCATGTATTACAAGGGTTATTACAAGGTCAGTCACATGGGAGTTATGGACTGGAGCAGCCAGCACACCATCCAGAATCTCCACTTTGCCATGCATTGACAAGATGGAGGAAAATGGCTATAGTATCTTCCCTAAGCCAGTGGTTGCCTTACCTATACCAGCCACCAGCAGGCGCTGTACCAGAGGGCTTATGGGCTTTTCGAAGATGGGTGGGTTTACAATGTGAGAGGCTTTCTCAGGGCCCAGCAGCCTGCAGAGAAGGAAATAGGAGAAGTCATAGTGGGATGCTGGGACCCTAAAAGGTTGGACACAGGTAACCTAATGAAAAGCTTGAGTCCAGTGGCACCTTTAAGACAAACAAAGTTTACTTCTGGGTATAAGCTTTCGTGTGCACGCACCCCCCACCAGCATCTCATTTTCATGGTAAGCCATAGTAGTACAACAAAGGATTAATGACTGAGGAAACTGAGTCACTTGCTTCAGCCCTGTGTTACACATTTATGTATGTCTTTTTGTTGTTGTTCAGTCGCACAGTCGAGTCCGACTCTTCGCGACCCCATGGACCAGATCACGCCAGGCCCTCCTGTCTTCTGCTGTCCTCTGAAGTTGGCTCAATTTCATGTTCGTTGCATCGATGACACTGTCTAACCATCTCATCCTTTGCCGTCCCTGTCTTCTTTGACCTTCAGTCTTTCCCAGCATCAGGGTCTTCTCCAGTGAGTGCTCCTTTCTCATTTGGTGGCCAAAGTATTTGGGCTTCAGTTTCATTATCTGGCCTTCCAGGGAACAGTCAGGGTTGATGTATGTATATCTGTATTTATTTCAAGGATTTCTATCCTGTCCCATTCATATCAGTGGGATGAATCTGAGAACTGCCTTTTTTTTTTTTAAGTCTTCTAGGTCACCTGTGAGCCCAGGAACAAGTCCCCAAAGTGACATAACGATCCCAAGTTAACATGCTGTTTAAAATACAGATCATTCAAATGAGAACAAATGGGTTGGGTCCTACGATGTATGAATCATAGCATCATATTATCAGCGCACACAGTTCTTTCCGGTCCTCCCCACCCCTCTGAAATCTGGCTTTTCCAAGATGGGTGGATTTACAATGAGAGAGGCTTTCTCAGGGCCCAGCAGCCTGCAGAGAAGGAAATAGGAGAAGTCATAGTGGGATGCTGGGACCCTAAAAGGTTGGACACAGCTAACCTGATGAAAAGCTTGAGTCCAGTGGCACCTTTAAGACAAACAAAGTTTACTTCTGGGTATAAGCTTTCGTGTGCATGCACCCCCCACCAGCATCTCATTTTCATGGTAAGCCATAGTAGTACAACAAAGGATTAATGACTGAGGAAACTGAGTCACTTGCTTCAGCCCTGTGTCACACATTTATGTATATATATCTGTATTTATTTCAAGGATTTCTATCCCGTCCCATTCATATCAGTGGGATGAATCTGAGAACTGCTTTTTTTAAAAAACAAGTCCCCAAAGTGACATAACGATCCCAAGTTAACATGCTGTTTAAAATACAGATCATTCAAATGAGAACTAATGGGTTGGGTCCTACGATGTATGAATCATAGCATCATATTATCAGCGCACACAGTTCTTTCCGGTCCTCCCCACCCCTCTGAAATCTCTGAAAAACTGGTGCAGGAAGTTGCGAGAACACTCGGAGAACAAGCCATGCAGCAGAGGAGGCTGCGGTGAGGAAGAGGAACAAAATGAACTTGTCTCCACCTTGCTCCTGGCTCAGCAGAGGCATCACTGGCAGAAGAAGGAAAGGGGGGGTAGTTTCACCCACTGCCTCTTCTTAAGTGCAGCTCTCTGGGCCACATGGGGGTCCCACAACCTCCAGCACCAGCTTTTCAAGACTGCCTTGCAGTTACATGCTTGGGCCATAAAACCCAGACATCCATATACATTATATGACTATTTAGGGGTGCACATAATGCACTTCAGAGGCACTGTCTTTACCGCACACATTCCAGGTCCACACACAATTTGCCCGCTTGCTCAATCTCCCATTCCAACACATTCACACTTAGCAGCTCCTTGCCTAGAAGGAACTGAACAGAGTCTCCGGGGAGGGTTATGGAGCCTTCCTAATGGAAAAGAAACTGCTCACCTGTACAGATGTTGTTGATAATCAGGCAAGGGTCTACCAGGAACTCCCTTCTCTTGGATGTTTTGCAGACTCCAGTGCCCAGGCCTTTTGGGGCCAACCCAACTGTGAGAGTCTTTGATTCGTCGTGAATGCAAGGACCAGTCATGATTTGGATGTGTCATCAGAGCCTGTTAGGAAGACAGCTGGGGAACACAGAGAGAACTGAAATTGGAATCTTCTCCAACTCCCCCCTAAAACTTCAACTTCCAGCCCTTTCTCTTTTAGTTCACTCACAAGCCCAGCCAGCTTCTGAGAAGTATGTGACTGACCTTGTGGATTCTGAGTTCAGGAGCTGATAAGCAGCCACTCAGAACTGTGGTATCCAAGCTCTTTAAAAGCTTGTTGTTTGGGTGTAGTCATGGCACTGCTGCATTCTTCCTGCTTCATGGATGGCGGAAGCCCAAGCCTTTTACCTAACCAATAGCAGCAGCAGGTAGAACCTTCTCCATTGTGGCATTTAGAAACGTAGCACAGTGGCTGGCATGCTGGCGCAGGAAATCTCGGCTCAAATTTCCCCGCATGTTCCCCCAAGGGCACTACGGTCAGGGAGCCAAAACCTCCTGGATATCCCAGGCCCCAGGCCCATCAAACTTGCTGTGACCAGGGCCAGGGCATTCTCGGTGACGGCTCCTACCTGGTGGAATGAGCTCCCAGAAGAGATCCGGGCCCTGTGGGACCTTGTGCAGTTCCGCAGGGCCTGCAAAACAGAGCTCTTCCACCAAGCTTTCGAGTAGGAGCCACTGCCACCACTATTCCACTATTGCTTTTTCCATCACTGCACTCTACCACCGCTGATGTGGGTATCATCGGGGGTGCGAGACGTCCCTGGCGGATGACAGGGTTGTGGGGACATATACTGCTGTTGTTCTGTTATAACATCTTCAGAACACCATCTTGGTTTTATGATTCGGAGTGAGTATTGGAGCACCGATATTTTTAATAACTGTATTATGTTGTATTATTGTATTTTTATACTGTTCTTATTGTTTTAATCTGGCATTTATGCCCTTGTTAGCCGCCCTGAGCCTTTGGGGAGGGCGGGATACAAATCTAAAGAATAAATAAACATAAATAAATAAATCCTTGCTAGATCATTGAACCTACCAAGCAACATGAGGTGGTGGTGGGGAAATCAGTTAGTCAGACAGCAGGATTGTTGGAATATGAACAAGATGAAATTCAAAAATTAAAGGAGAACTAACACATTTTGTTTGGCCAAGGGAGAAAAGCAAAACATAATGCATCTTGGGTGGAATGATTTTGCCAGCTACTGTTGGGTCTCGTGTTAAAGGCAAGTTTGAAGAAAAGGCATCCTTCAGAGTCTTCCCTCCTTGTTCTTACTTTTTTGTACCAAGAAAGTGTACAAATGTAGAGGAGGTGGCTTTATTCAGAGGCTTAACATTCCCTCCTTTGATTCAATGGTCCCCCTCCCCCAGCCTGGGATTCTTAAAGGTTTGGAGATTGTTCCTGAGAAGTTTTAAGTATACCTGCTTTCAAAAGAGATAACTAAACGGACATGCACTGTTCCTTAAGAGTTGGACAAAAAGAAACAGTGTGTCTCCCTTTAATTATAACCAGAGGTCATTTCGGGGGGGAATGCGGGGGAACACAGTTCCCCCGGGTGAGGTGCAGGGGGCGGGGCACATGACGAAG